ACCACAGCACATTTACAACCATGTGATGCAGGCATCATTCATAGTTTCAAAGCTCATTATAAAAGGCTATTTTTGAAAAAAAGAATAAATAATTTTGATGAAGAATAGTCTGGCATAGAACCCGATCCAATTAATATTTATCATGTAGTTAAGATGGTTGCAAGAGCTTGGGATTTTGTTACACCAGAAATTATTTCTAATTGTTGGAATTCTTCCAGAAGAAAATGATTTATATCCTATAGAAATAGAACAAGCCAACAATTTAGTAAATGAAATTCTCCAAGAAGAAGAAAATGCTGTTCAAAATTTAATTAATAATTTACCAATTAATTCACCTCTAACAGCAGCAGAATTTATTTCAATAGATAATGCAGATGTAAGTGTTGAAATGGTAACTGATGAACAAATAATCTTATCACTTACTCCAACTGAGGAAGAAATTGAAGAAAATGTTCCAATGTTACCTTATATTCCAATTAAAGATGCTGTTGCTGCTTTTGAAACTGTTCATAAATTTTTTGAACAAGATAACAATGGTTTAGAATTAGATTATAATGAACTCAAAGTTTTTCATGCATTAAAGAAAAAAATTAATTTGTATAATTCTAAAAGTTTAAACCAAGGAAAATTAACTTCTTATTTTACCAAACGACAATAGCATCATATCAGTTATATTTAAGGATACCGGCTGCAACTTTTGATGATGGTTGCTACCATCTTTGCATCATATAAAAACGATTGCAACCACTGGTTGCAACCACCTTTACAACCATTTTGATTCCTTTTTTGGATTGCAACATGGAACACTAGTTATATTATAATTATTATTATTATTATTATTATTATTATGTTGTACAATTTTACTATCGTTGATATTAATTAATAAATAATAAAAAAGTTATTTTTAAAAACATCACGTGATGATCATCAATTACCTTGGTTACCGGATACCTCGTTATAACGGACCATTGAGGCCAAACCAATATGTCCGTTATAACGAGGTTCGACTGTAGATCTTGACTAACACTTGCTTTGATCAAACCCACTTATATGATTATTGAATAATTGATTAAACATTCATTTTGCAAATTTCATAGATCTTGACTAACATCTGCCTATATAATTATTGAATAATTGATAATAATAAAACATTGATCAAATATATTTTACAAACAGCTTTGCAGATCTCAACTTTAATACTTACTTCGATCAAACCTGGCTAATAATAAAACATCATTAAATATATTTACAAACAGTTTCATAGATCTCGATTTTAATACTTCGATCAAACTCGCCTATTATAATAAAATGTTCATTTTGGAAATTTTAATTTGCAAGTAGATCCTAACTTTAACATTTAATTCAACCAAGCCCGCCTATATAATTATTTGAATAATTGATTAAATATATTTTACAAACAGCTTCACAGATCTTGACTTTAACACTCACTTCGATACAAGCTATTCAACGATGAAACATTCATCAATATATTTTATAAATTTGCTTTGGAAGCTTCGTATGTCATCATACATCTTGTATTTAACAGTTAATTCACAAACTCGCAACCTATCATCAACTCTACTTTTTCTATTGAATTTTATTTTTTTTTAGATTACACAATAGAAATTATGGAATAATTTATCCAATGAAATGTTGTTAACTGGTTAGTATTCCATGTTTTGCACAACTTGAAAAAAGTTGGTATATAAGTCATAGAATTGGATTAATGTTAACTAACCATCCAGGTGAAGTCATGCAATGATGATGTACCCATTATGGACACTCTGTGTCTGGCTCCCTTGGATGTATGGACCAGATGTAAAGTCCCACATGGAAGAATGTGGAACTCACACGGGCGACTCATGTTGGGTGTATTGACCCTTTGTGACATGACCCCTCTTTTTGTTAATTTTTATTATTTATTTTATTTAGTTGGAAGGAAACATTTAAAAAGATAAAATTCATTAATTGATTTGATTGGTTACATTTTGTATTGTACAAAGATGCATCAATCAGTAGTTGTTGCAACATTAAACAATAATATTAGTATTAGTAGCAACAAGTAGCAAATGATGACAATGGATCATTGTTTTTTAAGGACAATGATAAAGATTAAGATCCAGTTTTTGTAGGAGTGATCGAAGTAAGCATTAAAGACAAGATCTATGAAGCTTGCAAAATATTCTAATGAATGTTTTATCAAATATTCAATAATTTATAAATTTCTCTTTTATTTTAACTTATATTTAATAACATCACTATGATAAATAAATAATTAAATGAATAAAGTCAGAGATAAAACACCTTTTAATTTAATCATTATTTTTGCTTGTTTATTACTCTAATCTTTATTTATGTATACAGACAAAGAAAAATTTTAATATCTATTTATTATTTACTTTTAAAATAAATTATTTTACTATATAAGACATACCTAAGTGATCAAAAATCTGTAAATATTCATAATAATGTAATATTTGGACATTTATTTCTAATTATGCCTGGCACACTGCTAGACCTTACTTTGCTCACAATTTATAGTTGATTCCCTATCTTATGACTAAAAACACTTGCTGTAAATGATTGGGCTGGTAGCTACCATTGCCATAAATAACTGTCAGTAGCTACCATTTGCCATAAATAGTTATGATTTCTGTAAATAGCTATGGCTACCCACAAATAACTACAACTGCTGCAAATAGTTTTCAATTATTGGCATTAGTATTATTAGTTATATTAGTAGTCATGCTAAAATTTTCTTGAGTTATTTGTGATCTGCAGTAACTAATTTTTTTGAATTGTAATTGATGAATTCAATTAGTTGGTCATTCATTTACAGTGGAATTATGTACAAAAATAAAATTTGCAGCAGCCTTGGCTATTTGTGGCAGCTGCATCTGTTTGTGGCAACTGCACCTATTTGTGGCATTTGTATTTGTTTGCAGCAGCCATAAATATTTCATGATGGTAACTACCCTATGGTAGTTACCATTGCTGAAACAACCAATTACTGCAGGTGTCTTTATTGACAATAATAAAATAGTAAAGTACATATAGTATAGATTTGATCAAAAAAATTTTTTTGAATCCAATTCAATCTTTTTATTAAATGATGGATTGAAATCATTCCATAGATTTTTAACTTTTTCTGAATATTTTTTACCATCAGTAAGTTTGGTTTGGACTTTTATTGGCTCTATTTTATTGGTTCTTTTGATTTATATCATAAAGCTGCTCTTTATAGGTTTTATGGCAAAGCAAGGAACCCAGAAAGAAGCTGCAAAAAAAGTTCATTGTTGGAAACAAGCATTTAAAACAAAAAATTGTCTTGAATATTTAGGATAACCTATGTATATAATGATAAAGCATTCGTTAATATCATGACCACATCATTGATTCTACAATGAATAAAAACCTACTTATTCTGTATGTTTTATATAGAATCAAAAACATACACTTTCAGTGTATTACACCTTGTGTTAAATTTAAAAAAGGTGAATTTTCCAAATTGTATGTATGTTAATATGTTATTTTATAGAAAGAAGAATTATGCACTGGCATTTATTGCTAGGTATAACGATTCAACCAAACCGGTTTAACTGCGGTTTGGTTTATGCATTTTAAACTGGTGATTTAATCGGTTTGGGTTGAAACCCAGTTCAAACTCCAGTTTGAAACTGAATTACACGTATATTAATATAGTCGATTTTTATTGGTCAGAACTAGCTAACTGGTCCCGTGGTCCTAAACTTTATTTTTTTATAGGAATTTTGAATTTTTTAATAATAATTTTTCTTGTAGAATAGTAATTAATTTTTTTTTAGAAATTATATTCAAATAAAAGATAAATATGTTATCACCACCATTACCCAATTCAAAACCCCGGTTTAATAGCGGGTTTCCAAATTGGTTTAACAAGTTAAAATCTTTTTTTTTTACAAGAATGTCAAGTTCAAATGACGAAAGAATGTACTTTCATCCACCACTTTAACTTCAGTTTCATAATCACCATCACCATCATAATCACCAATCGTTCAAATCCCTAATAATCCACAAATTATTAGAACTAGATGATGAAAAATTCAAAAGTACCGTATTTGTACAGACACATATAATGAGATTAAAAAAACTTTAACTGGACCATATCAGATGAAGAGGATGGTAGTAATGTTTAAAAACAGCTTTAATTGTTGAAACAAAATTTTTTTCTTGTAAAAATAAAAATATGACACTTCCAACAAAATTATAAAACTGTGTTTCACTAGTCAAACCGTAGTTTATAAAGATCACATCTCTAATTATTACACATTAAAATGTAAATATTGTGTAAAATTAGAACTTGCGAGCGTGATATTACGACGGGAAGAATTCCCTGACGATATACCATCTTACAAAAAATCTTGCACGGAAAATGTACCGAGTCTTCATACTACTAGTTATAATTATAATGTAAAAAAGTGTCTTTCTATTATTATACTGAAAGCATACAGAAAATACACTAATACTAATACTAATAGCAATACGGGTTTTACAGAAACACGCAAAAACATACGGGATGTGGAGAAGTAGTGCAATAAATACAGAAAACATGGGGTGCATATATTTTCGTGTAGAAATGTACGGAAAGACATCCTTTTATAGGAAGGTTCCGTGTATTTTCTGTTTGGTAAAACTAGAACATACTGATATGGAAAATGTACTGTTTTTCTGTAAAAATTTCTTATAGGGCTAGAGACAAGGCCTATCTGTGAGTGGGTTACAGAGTAGCGGTTCAGAAGTGAGTCAACGAGGGTATCCTAAAACCTTGCTCTAAACAACGGCTGCAGAGTTACTAGGACCCAGATAGGAACATACAAATGCTGAAATTGTGGGTTCCGGGTGTAAATAATATAAAGTAAAAATCCAAGCAAACTCTAAAGAACTTGGTGTAATGCTAATACTAGTAAACTTTTTTTATTCGCTTAATGTATTTTAATTAATAAATATTTTTGTAATATGACGTTTGAATATAAATATTTTTAATTTGTAATATTAATATATTAATTTCACACTTGGCGATGATGGTTTTTTTATGCATGCAATAAAAATAAATTTTTTTAATCATGTTTGATTATGCAAGAAATTGCTGAATCTAAAATTGAAATTACAGGAAATTCGTTGTTTGTTGTGTGTAACAATTCTCTAACTATGGTCAAATAAATAAATTTACTTTTTTCTACTACCTTTTGATCTTCAACAACTAACTTCTTTGTTGACGATGACTATTGTTCTTCTTTATGAAACTCGCTTCTGCAATGATTATCAACAATTTTGAGTGATTACATTTGGATTTAGATGTAAATATGCCGACTTCTTTGACTTTTGGGTTTAATTAATAATGAATTATTAATATTATTATGCATAAAATCATCGCAGAACCCAAATTTAGCTAGCTTAAAAAATGACGGTTCTATTAAAAAATACTGTTTGAAATTTTTTTGTATAATAATAATAGGTTTTGCTTGCATTGGAGACGATGCACCAGATGTGCGGTATTGTGACCCTGTCTCCTATTTTCTGATTTTTGTGTGTGGCTGGGCTATGTATGACCTTGAAAACCCCCCGAAAATAAGATTATTTATTATTATGGAAACATCAAAATATAAATAGATCGAAATATTTTAGATGGAATTCTTTATCAGAATCTTTTAATAAGCGAGACGACGGTATTTCCGAAATACCAGGAGAAATATTACTATTGTTACCAGTTATTTTATTATAATAATAAAATTACTAGTATATAGGGTTGTATATGAAAAGCAGAACCATTATATTTATTTATTTCAAAAGTTGGCAAATTTCCAAAAGAAAAATCTGCTGACTGCGTAGGGCTCTTTAAGACCAGAGCAAGATATTTCCTTGATGGCCCAGCTTATAGCAATGAATGGTGGTGGATCAAAAGAAAAAGTTGTGTCAATTAAAATCCCTTCTGCTGTATTATTAACATGTTTTCGCTAGCAAACTTGAAACTTTTATAATTGCCGAATTGCGTGGTGTGCTTGTTACAAAAAATTTTTTTACCAATCTTTATTTAAAACTCGAGTTTTTTCATATATGAAAAAATGATTGATTGAATGCACGATTGTTAATGATAATATTGGTTATGAATAAAATGTGTGCGCATACATAAAATAAACAAAATTTTTAAACAAACATAGTTGTGTGATTTATAATAAAAGGTGCGATTGTAAAGATATTTAAATGTAATTGATGAAAATGTGTTCTATATAAAATAAAAAGAATTATATAACAATATAATAACATAAGTTTCATTCTTGTCGTATATAAACAAACAAAAAAAAAAAGGGAGAAAGAATTTTTTATTATCCCATCTATCACTTTAACCCATGAAAAAAAAAAAAGATCGAGTAGAAAAATTATATTTTTAAAATTGGTGGTGGAGCAATTGATTTTCTTCTCGTTATTTGAAATGAAGGTGGTGGAATAAAAACCTCTTCGTCTTCTTCAGTATCAGTTTCTGGTCCTGAAAGTTCTGGTGGTGGGAAATTTGTATTATATTCTTCAAAGGCCGAATCCGCTTCATTTATATTTACACCGGAAAACGATGAAGTTGCTACATCCTCCTCTGTTGAATCAGAAATCGGTATGGAATTGGTAGGTGTGGGTAAATTTGGAAATAATAGGAAGTCACTTGTGTAGATAGCGAATGGATGAATGTCAGGTTTAACCGGATACCTTGCGTCTGTAATGTGCGAATTTAATACTTCATCGAATGAATCAAAATCATTAACATCCTCTAAACCATTCAACGAATCCTCATCTAACCCAAGAAGACGTCGATGAAAAGCATAGGGTGTTGTTAGGATGTCAACTAATTCTTCTGCGTCAGGTCTTTTATGTGGATTAGCATCCCAACACCTTTTCATTAATTGTTCATAGAAAAATGGAGTTCCTGGTATAATTGATTCCCGAAATCCATTACAGATCTCCAAAGCCAGTGAGTGATCATGAGGACGATCCGAAAATGGAGGTATCCCAGAAGAAAGTTCCCACATAATGAATGCAAAACTGTAAATGTCAGATTTTCCAGTGAAAGATTCACCAGTCAATACTTCGGGAGCAACCAGAGGCAAAGAACCGTATACACCTTTTGGATCAGATGTTCCCGAGGGACCATTTAAACCAAAATCGGCAATATTGAAGATTGAATACTTTAAAATGTTTCCACAATGAAGGTTCTTGTGAAATGTTCCATTTTTATGAATATTCATAAGACCTATTGCAATATTGCTTAATATTTATACAACATCTTTCCATTGCAGGGTTCCCATGTTTCTTCTTAAATAATTTCTTAGATTTCCTTCATCAGCAAAATCCATAACCATCATAAATTCATTTGTTTCAGGATTTTTTGTCATACCACGACAATGAACAAGATAACGACAACCATCTAATTTAAGACTTCCGTGTCGTTTAATCTAGAGACAAATAGAGAATATGAGAATATGTGCATTTATCGTAATTATTTATTTATTATTACAATTAATTAAATTTACCTCGTCTAAAAAATCCTCATCAAGATCTTGTGAATTTTTTAAAGATTTCAATGCGACTACAAGTGGCTTCTCTACGAATTTGTTTTCATTTTCACACCAAACTTGATCAGTTTTATTTAACAAAGTTCCTGAAAATACAGAACTGAATCCACCTTTCTCTAAAAACTTTACTTCGCCAAAATTCTCAAAAGGTATCCATTGTAAATGATAATTTGGATCACTAAATAGATATATTTATATAATGATACCCTTAAAATTATTTATTTATCTGAAACTAAATAATAAAAATTTAATATACTTACGGATTTTCTAATTGTGTTTGTTGAATGAATCTGTCTAATTTATCATTACCACTTGTCCAATTATCAAATTCATTAATGAGTCGAAGACGTTCATCCCATTGCCAATCATCTTCTTCAATATTAAAATCACTGTTTGTGGGTGTTGTTACTGTGAATGTGTTAATGCTAGTGGTGTTGGCAACAGTAGTAGAATAGTCAAATTGAAAAGTATCAGCCATTTTTGTCAAATAAGTTAATTGTGTAAATGTGAAATTTTTAAGCTGTTTATTTTTTTAATTTATTATTTAAAGAATAAGTAAAAAATTTTTTCCTCCTCAAATTGATGTTGTATAATCTGGTTTTATAAGTAAAAATTTATTATTAGAAAAAAATTACTTGATGCATTCACGTGTGATAATTAATATATTTATCTAATTTCTAAAGGAATCTGTTTCGCTGTAACACAAAAGATTTCCTGTTATTTATTTATTTTTTTATTTTTTTTTTTTTTTTTTTTTTCTTGCACGCGCACACACATAAAGCAAGCCACATCACAAGCCATTCTATTTTTAGCACTGAATATGACTTTCGAAATAAGATGTAACATACTGGGGTGTACGATGGACTAATGTAGATCAAACTTTTATTAGATTTATTATTTCTGATGAGCATCGGTTAATTAGTTGGAAAATCAAAGCAAGCTTTCTCAGAAGATGACACCTCGTCAAACTTCTGGATCCATTCATCATGCAAAAAAACATTTTTGGGGTTGTAAATTTTGTTTTTATTAGAGATTGGCACCGTTTAAAAATTCTTTAACTGGTTAAAATGGTTAAACGGTTAATGGTGCCAATCTAGTTCAGTTATTGGCAATATCTTTATGTATTTTGTTATTATTATATTTGAAAGATTTTCCCCCTTTTATTCAATGAATACAATAAAAATAAATAATGCAGAATGCAGGTCGGAGGTTTTTTGGAAGTAACCTATTTTTAACAGAGAAAAATTCATATCGTACGAATTGCCGTCACACATTTCGAATTTCCCAAATATTTTCTAATTTTGGTGAAAACCCACATTTATCATCAAATTTTTTCTCCAAAAAAAAATGTCAATAGAAAATCTGAATGAACAACAAACATCCAAATCAATTAATTTTTCTGCTTTTTTAGAAAAGATTTCAATGTAAAAGCATGGATTAATGATGCCGTTTCATCAAGTGTTAAAGATGCAACAACAACTGTCGGAAAACATTCAAAAGAGCATGAAGTTCAACTGTTGGAAAATAATGTCACTATTCTTATAGAAAAATTACAGTTCCTTTCTCAAGAAATTTCTCATAGACTAGGTAAAACAGTTGAAGATGTTACCAAGAGCATGCCAAGAATATTATCTGATTTACAAGTCATGCAAGAAGATACAAAAAACTTGAAGGTTGATATAACTAAAGTTAAAAATAGTGTTAATAATGTTGAAACTGATACTGGAAAGACATTGTTGGAACAATTGAAATCCTTAGATTTGGTAAAATCACGGATGGAAGAATCACATGCTGTATTACAAGAAGCAGAAAATTGGAGTAATTTGGAGGCTGATGCAAACAATATTTTTGCTTCAAATGATTATCAAAAAGCCAGTTCACGCCTTCATGAAGCTGAAAAAAGTTTAATAATATTTCAAAATACACCAGAGTATGAACATCGTCATAAATTGTTAAGCGAACTGAAAAATCAACTTGAAACAAAGATTAACCCTCAACTAGTTGTTGCTTTGAGTGAACATGATATTAGTTCATGTCAAATGTTCTATGCAATATTCTGTCAAATTGGTCGAAAAAAAGAATTTTGCAATTATTATTATGAATCAAGAAAAGAACATTTTGTAAAATTATGGCAAAATGCAGCTATAATTGATGTTGCAACAATGATGAATGACACATCTAAACAAAAACATCAACAAAATCCACCTATAACGACAATAACAACCTCATATTCAAACACCTTTGATTCTCAAAATCAATCAAACTCATATAAAAAATTTGTAGAATTTTTACAAGAGTTTTATGAAGAATTATTTATGAAACTAAATAAAGAATATACTTGGTGTGGAAATGTTTTTCCTGATACAAATGAAATTATAATAACACTTATTGAAAGTATTTTTGATTCATTGGGACCATCTTTGAGTACAAGATTGTTAGGTTTGATTGAATATTATGGTGAACAATGTTTACCAGAAATTATTGATGCCTTTACTTTAACTGAAAATTTTGGTCAACAAATGGAACATATTTTATTTAATCCAATTCAAGTCACATTATCATCATTATCATCAAATAATAATCAATTGATGCTGCCAAAGATGAATTTAATTGATTGGGGTCGAGTGATTTTTGAACCTTTTGTTGAATATCAACATGATTTTTCCGAATACGAGAAGAATTATTTAATTGATTTGTTTAAAAAAACTATTCTTCAATCAACTGAAATTTCTGGATCTGTTGAACTTGCAAAAGTCATGTCAGGAAATATTTCAAAAATATTTTACATGGCAGAAAATTCAGTGAAAAGATGTATGAAACTTACACATGGGTTTGCAGCAGTTGGATTAATCAACTGTTTAAATTATTTCTTTTCTTTTTTTATAAAAGAATATCATACTTTGTTGGATCAATTACGTACAGACTTTAGATTAAATGATTATCATGTCAAATATCATAAACATTCAAAATCATCTGGACATATGAATGATTATTATTATAGTGAGTTTGATCAAGATAAATTACAAGAAGATTGGTCCAATTTTCAAATTGGATTGAGGTTATTATCAACATGTCGTATTGCAACTGATAAATTAAAGATATTGGAAGATAATATTAAAGAAAAACTTGTTAGCATGAGACCTTTGATAGAGCTTGATATAAATAATCATGACAAATTTGGTTGGTATGAGCAACAATCAGTGATTATTGAAAAAACAACTTTTACAGGAACTCTATCATCTTTATCATTATTACAACAATCACCTCTTAACAGTCATCAACTTAATGAACTTTTATCAGGAGATATCAAGACAAAGCAAGTCTTAAAACCTTCAGCTAAATCTATTAGCACTTTTACTAAATCTAGTCAACTTCTTGTTTTTGATAGCATTTTTTTTCCTATTGTTAAACATATGATAAATCTACCCTCAATGGAAATTTGGAATGCAACAGCAGAGTCTTCACAAATTTCACCATTTAATATAGAAATTCCAATATTCAGTTTATCACCATCTGAATATATGACTAGGATTGGAGAACATCTTTTAACTTTGCCACAACAATTTGAAGTCTTTGCTGATGATGAATCATTGGCTTTTTCTATTGGATCACTACCTTACAGTGATGAGAAATCAATAAACACTGCTGCAGCAGTGGCAGAAGCATCTACTACTACTGTTACTACTGCAAGTAGTATAGCAACAAAGGAAGGAATCATAAAAGAAATTGATCAAAAAGATGAAACTAATAATAATAATATACAGATGGAAGAAGAAGAGTTTTTAACAGGAGAGGTCACACATACTTGGATTACATCTATAGCTCGTGGCACTATGCATGCAATTTTTGAACGTATTTTGGCCATCCCACAATTATCAACACATGGTATAAAACAATTGTTAACGGATTTAGGTTATTTGACAAATGTTCTTTCTGCTCTAGATATTTCACCAACCAGAGAAGTACAAAAAACTGTTAAAGTTTTAGAAATGGATGAGGATCAATTATTTAAACTATTAAGATTAAGATCAAATAGTGATGATAAAATTGACGAATTTATAGATGCAGGTGATAGAGAAATTTTGATTAAAGTAGCAGCATTAAGAGGAGTCAAACTATTAGATTTATAATATTTATGTAATTATTTAATTATTTAATTAATAAAAAGTTTTTTTAATAGATTGTATTTCTATTATATACTTTTAGACATAAATATGTTATATATATATTATTAGATTCATCATATACCAATTTTTATTCAAAATCATTTTTAAGAAATAATAAGTACTTTAGTAAAAATCCATGATTTTGTAGTGTAAAAGTACTAACGTTGATTAAACGAGGGAGTGTTAATATGGATTAGTGAAAATACTTGTGTAATGTTACCGTGGGTTAATAGCATTTAACCCAGAGAAATGTTAAGAGTGATTAACCACGTGTGAATGAGTGTTAGCATTTATACCAAATCAATTAAACAGCATCTGGATTTTGTATTTTGATTTATCTGAAAAAATACACACAAAAAATATATTGCTTTGCTGACTGACACAAGATAACTTTATTTGGACGTGTCTTAAAAAGAAATTTTGTATTCAAATATTGGTTTAGCTAAATTGCTATACTGCACGAATTAATTTCCTAATATATAAAAAATACATCAAATTAAAGAACCACATCCCTCAATCAAGTCATTTTAATTCTTTTGGAAATATCTAACGCTTTGCACCAAGTGACATAGGCGGTTTCCAGGATTTGCACGTATGGGTGAAGTTCTTTCTGACGATGGGTAGAGGGAAATACTTTAGTCCATAATTGAATTGGTGCAAACGCCAGGTTCATTAAAAATTGTGATGGTGGGCAATCGTCATAGCACAAACATAAAATGTTATTGGCAATCACGGTGCCGGCACGTGTATAGAAACTGATGTAGCCAGTGTCTTGTTACTAATTTTGAAGGATAATTTAATATTGAGAACATGAAGGATGTGCTTTGTCAATAAAAATAACAATCTTACAATGACCAGACTATCAACAGTGACAGGAATAAGTTCATTCGCTTTATCCAAAACCAGAATTTTGGTCTTGCCAGGCACCACATCTTGAGCATACAAGATTGATAAATCACTACGGAAAATGCAGTGCGTAGATGTCATGCGAATTTGGCCTGTTTTAAAAAAAAAGTATTTGTGGTCATTGAAGATCTTAAGGAAGACCTGTGAACGAGAAGGTAAATTAATTTACCTTTACTTCTATCGGGATTTGTGAATTCAATTTTTTATCATTTCAAGAGGATAATCGTAATGGCCCAGATGAGATATCAAGTAAACTTCAGACGGACACGGACACTTTACCAACACCCACTTTACCGACACCCACTTTACTGACAAGACACTTTACCAACAACATGCAACATGTTATTTTAGCATTTTGTTAGTTTGTTTTATTTGTAGAGATTAAATGTAACCCCGCGTGTTGTCA